GAAGTTAGGGATTGATAAACAAGTGATCAAGTATGAATAAATTTCATAAAATTCTATCCACTACTTTCAAAAAGTACTGCCGCTTTTGATTCTGCAAACGTATTGTTTTTAAGAAATCCATAGTTTGACAACAGCTGGCTCGATTTGACCCAGAGTTGGAGGGATTTTGTGGAATAGTATACAAATTTCCTCTTATCAATTTCATTAAAATCTATTTAACAATTAAAATTAAGATAAATAATTTTTCATCATATAATGGCTGTGAAGTGTAGAAGGCATTGAACATATGCAAAGGTTAAATTTGTACTAGATAATTTTATACGATTTTAGACTTTATTCATAAATGGAAATTGTATTGCGTTGTCTATTTCTTGTTTGTTTGTTGTAGTGTAATCAAGTTTTTGTAGTTTCGATTTCCCTCCTAAACTTTAAAGTATTAAGGAGTCAGCTTTTTGAATTAGCTATGAGTAAGACTTATGTTGAAGAGTAAGACCTAGATGTCAATAAAGTTTAAGTATGCATAGCCCTTCTTTTCATGTCATTTGTAATCGTCATTCATATTCCACCTTAAATTAGTTTTATTCTGACTGCTGGAAATTGTCAGTTTTGTTTACACGGAACAAACGAATAATCAATTTTTTCAATAGATTTTTCCCCGATATTTCAATAGATTTTTTCAATGCTGTACTGGGAATTCGTTAATAAGATCGTGCTTTTGCTTCATCACTACCGAAGATGGTGAATTTGATGAAGAGTCAAATCCACAATTTGCAAATGTGGAACTCTTTCACATTTTCGTTTTCGCTGATGGCCGAAACGGGTTATCAAATTCGCAATTGTTGTCGAATTAATGGGATTACTTTTCGAATACGGCTTCTCCCGAAGATTTTATTCACAAACGAAAAATTATTGACTTTGAGATTTAGGTAACTGTGGAACCAGTGGAAATGGTGAGGAAGCTATGATGGAATCACTTGGTATACGTTTTTTCATTGGTACACATTGCCGGCCTTAGACATTCAGCGCCATCGGCCAATGATTTCATCTTTCCCCTCTCTAAAAAATTTTATTTATTTCTTAAGCTATTTTATGTTATGCAATATTTGAATTTTATTGCATTCAACAAGTTTTCTGATACAGTTGCTATAACGGTGGGCTAAAATTGATTATTTTAATACAGTTTGTAACTTTTGTTTATTTCTTACGAGTGGCGAGCGCCCCTTAAGATCGGGCGGCGCCCCAATGGACGCCCCGGGACAGTTATCTCGCCCTAAGACCGGCACTCTTGGTACATATTTGTTTCTGATAGCAATCTGAGCTAAATACTTAAACAATCGACATGATTTCTTTTAAAATTATAATGCATTTTTTTTTTTTTTTTTTTTTTTTTTTTTTGCAAAAAAATGCACAAAACAAATACGAAAAGTTTAAGAATGTATATGTGAGCGCAATATTTTAAATTATCCTCTATTTTAAGAAACTATGCATCCAATATCATGGCAATGAGTCTAAATATAAAATAAAGATATTTAAATAACTTGATGTTTGAACACGTGTTAAAATCGGTAGTATTTTCAATAACTTCACTTTCAAAAACATAATAATGGTCTCTGTATTGGAAAAATACAAGTAGTCAAAATATATCGGTGCCACATTGATTGGACAATAGTATGTACTGTAATTATTAACTTTATTCGCATATTAGACATCTTAGCAAATAGGGAATAAAAAAAAATCTGAGAACTGCTCTAAAACTTCTATTTGTCATATTTTCAGTTATTACCTGAAAAAAAGGTGTTGTTTCCTATAAACGACATTATATATGAATTTTAATATTTAAAAAAAATGCATATTTTAACAAATCCTGATAAAAGGTATACTTTTATTTTATTTTTATTTTTAAATAAATGTTGGGAAATAAATCAATACAAACTGAAATGTTAATTGAAAATAGCGGAGTTATCATCCATAACAAAATGTATTCAAATAATTAATTTTAACCTATCAATAAAGCAACTATATTAGAGAAATGTAGAATGAAATAAAATTCAAATATTATAAAATATAAAACAGCTTAAGAAATTAATTTAATTTTTTAGGTTGGGGTAGATGACGTCATTGCCCGGGGGCGCCGGATGTCTAAAGTTGCCACTGCCTCAATCCATTTACAACAAACAAGATTCGGATTTTCCTGCCTGTATATCTCTTCACACAGGACTAAAACATTCCTTCTCTCTAATATCCGCGATGTTTCTTTCTTGTCTTCATACAAATCCCTCATTTTCCAACGCCTTCTCACATTCCTAATAGTCCGTTGTACAGACCCCTTTTTATAAAATTATTAAAACCGTGAATAGCTTCATCTAATCGTTTTATCTAACCACAACTGTTTTATTTACAAAAAAATGGAATAGGGCGTTTTTAGATCGCTCAAGTTTGTCTGTTCAATGTGGTACTAAAAACTTCTCATAAACACCCAGTAAAAGGGTGGCCTACAAAACTATTGGACCGTTTGGCGATACTTCCGCCCTCATCTTATCAAAATAACAAGGTTATAAAGGCCAACCAGTCATATTTTTGTAGGACATTTTTTTTTTTTTCAATTTTGTGATCCAATTATTTTAAGATTCAAGTGGAAAGCAAATGGGTATTTATACAAACGTGGAAAAAACTTATTTTTATTAAGTTTCTATAATTTTTATTGTTGATAGTTTTTCATTTTTTTTTGGAACTTTTTCTCTTGCAACTTTTCAAGTAAAGGTTTTTCAGAACTTCTGAAAAAAGTTGTGGACACCAAGCATACTTTGGGCGTCGGCTTCCCCTCCTTCAGCCCATCTGAGTCTCGGTCTGCCTACCCGCCTTGTGGCGAAGATCCGCTTATCTATCAACTTCCTTAGCACATGTTGTTCAGACATACGAAGAATGTGCCCTGCCCATCTCAACCTGCCAATTTTCATTAACCTCACAACATCGGCTTCTTTATATAGCTGCATCAGCTCATTGTTGGATCGCATTCGTCGCTCCTGATTCATTCATTCATTGGGCCGAATATTCTTTTTAGGACACGACGTTCAAATCGAAGGAGAGCTGTTTCTTGGGCTCTTGACATTGTTCAGCACTCAGACCCATATGTTAGTACTGGTCTGATTAGGGTTTTGTAAAGGAGCAGCTTGGTTTTGCGAGAGATCACTCTGCTTTTGAGATGTCCCTGGAGACCAAAATAAGCTCTATTTGCTACCATGATGCGCCTCTGTATTTCAGAATTCATGTCGTTATTTACATCCACTTGAGAGCTAAGGTATATAAATTCCGAGACATCTTCAAAAGTCATCCCTCCGATTTCTACATTTGCCTCTCTGTGGTATCCACTCTTTGGGTCGGCCCGCATAAACTTTGTTTTCTTCTCATTGACCTTTAAGCCATTTCTCGCTGCTGCTCCTTGTAGCGCTAAGAAAGCATCGTTTATAGCCGTCCGTTTGAAAATTTACTAATACATATTTATTTAATATATAATATAAACATCTACGGTCAGGTCATTGCTCATAAATGAAAAAATAAATAAGTAAATGTATTTCCTGTATATATTTCTTTTTTTTTAAAGTAAAATATTTGTTCCTAATAATAGGGTGTATACAAAAAATGACTGTTTTTCAAACAAATATTTGTATTATTATTTCTTTGATATTAAATACAATTAATACTCAAAGTATAATCTATAGTTATCTACCGTCATTAGCCATATGCTAACCAATCACTCAATCCCACTCTAATACGATTCTTTGGGATGCCTGTCAAAGAACTCTTGTACCACAATTTCAACTTCCACAAATTTATCAAATATTTTCCCTTGAAGAAAATGAGCTATGGATCTAATTAAGTAGTAATCCGATGGTGCGAGGTGTGCACTATATGGTGGTTGAGGCAGGAGTTCGATCCCATGAAGTTCTTAAAACTTTTCTTTGGTTCTGCGGGAAGTGCGAGGACGAGCATTATCTTATTAGGATAAAATTCCTTTTCGGTTGATCAAAGCATGATAACTCTCTGACAAATTCGCGTACAATCTTTCCAATTGTTCGCGGTAGAGTTCATATTTCATAGAGCATCCATCAGAAACAAATGCGTGATGAATAACACCTTCAAAATTCCAAAATAAATTTTTTTTTCGCAAATTGCTCCATTGCAGCAACCGGAAAAGCAGTTTAACCGCGATTTAGCCATTGCTCATGGGTATTCGTATTTCGCCAGTAAACCCACTTTTCATCATAGGTGACAATCTTCTGTAAAATCTCATATCAGAAGGGGTTTTTAATAAATTTTCACAAATTCCTAACCTCTTAGCTAATTGCTGAGTAGTAAGTTTGTGAGAAACCAATCTACTGCTCTTTTTCACCTTCCCCATGGAAAGTAGATGGTGACTAACAGTATCTTTCGACACAGCACACTCCCTGACAAGTTCGCGAGTGTTTGTGGACGGATTTGACTCAACAGCTTCCTGCAGAACCTCATCAATATCCATCAGTGATCGCCCTGAGCTTTTCTTCCTTTCTAACATTGTATCTCCACTGCTAAATTTTTCAAACCAACTGGTCAAGGACACCTTCCCCTTCATATTTAATTATTTCACGAGTTGCTTCAGCGGCTGTGAAATTTTCTTTCCGCTAATGCCTTAAAATTACGAGAATTTCGTAGGACGCTGTCATGTTTTTTCTTTGAAACAAAAAACTAAACTGAAGTTTTTTTTTAAGTAGTCGAATGGGATTAAACAAGCTTAAAGAATGCTCTAATGTTATCAAGTATTGAATAGGATTAAAATATTTACAGTCCTTTGAAATCTGGAATTTGATTAAATAGTATTTTTTTTTTTTTTTTATACACGCTATTATTATTGAATTTATTTAAGAACTTTTATATCACTATCATTTATATTAAATCCTTATTTTTTGTAATTGTTATTTGTATTTTATACTTCCTCTTTTTCATTTTTTATGTTGTTATTTCAGTTCTGATGAATATCAATATTTGCATAAAAGTAAGACTCCTACAATGCATTTTCAACCTTCCTTGCCCCGACTGCCAATTCCTGAATTGTCTAAGTCTTGTGAGAGATATTTGACTGCCCAACAACCTCTGAGGACTGAAGAAGAATTCTCATTACTTGTTAAAAGAGTGAAAGACTTTGAATTAAATGCTGGCATTGGTTTGCAAAAAGAATTAAAAGAACTTGATTCAAAGAATAAACATACAAGCTATATTTCAGCACCTTGGTTTGAAATGTATTTGAAAGATCGCAGACCTCTACCTATTAATTATAATCCCTTTCTGGTTTTTATTGATGATCCGAAAATCGAATATAATGATCAATTGATTAGGTCCTCAAATTTATTAATCTCTTCCTTAAGGTAAGTATAACTTATTTCTGTGATTATAAATAAGTTTGTATCTGAATCATAGTTTCCCAAACTTTTGCAGCTAGAATTCCCTTCTGAAAACAATATCTTAAAACAAATGAAATATTTTATAAATTAAGTATCACTTTTTATTTCTTCAGCACACTCCATTATACCATAGCTATCATAATGAGTTTTTCAATAAAGCATCAGCTGACTAGTATATTCATGATTTTTATATTCCAGCAGATTTATAATTATGTAAATGATCAGTTATCAATTGGCGTCGAAATACTTAATTTAAATTTAAAATTGAAATAAAAGTTTTCATCTTGAAAATTAGAGATAATTTTATAAATGACTTATGATGAAATAATTTTCTAAAGTTCTAATTTATAAGTATAATGATGCTCTCTGCAACATTACTTTTTAAATTATTTAGGGAAGACACTATTTTTTAATTAAATTTTTTTTTTTTAGTCTTTATTCCACTAATTATGCTGTTAAGCAGTTTGCCAATTTATTAATTCCTACTTAGCATTAGTGTGGTGTAACTAATCAGTAATTTTGTTTACTGCTTCTTCTAAGTAATAAATGTGTGCTTTGTTATAGATTTATGAGATCTCTCAGAAATAATTATTTGGAACCGGAAGTATATCACTTAAATGCTAAAAAATCAGATACAGAATTTTTTCGAACAATAACAAGGGCTTTGCCTCCTTCTGTTAGTTGGTATGGAGCTTATCTTTTCAAGGTAAAGTAAGTTATTTTTTATATGTTTGGAATTATATTTTGAAGCTCATTGATAGGATAGAATTGCTATATTTAAATCAATAAGTATTGATTATTGATTAGGCTTGATCTCACATTGGCAATAAAATTATTCAAATGACAATAAGTTTGACGTTTTCATACAATAATCCAATAATTAATAATCTTTTTATTATAGCTTTTTCTATTATACAATATAGCAGGAGAGTAAATATGAAACTGGAATTTTTGTATAGAAAATACACATTTATAGCATATTGATCCTACAAAAATATTTTATTTGAAATATTATCCATTGCTAGCTATACATTTTTCCCATCTCTCTGGCAGTTTATGCCATTCTACAAAAATTATTGCTCTTTTTTGGCGAACCTGTCATCACCCCATTTGCATGCATTTCTATAAGAAGTGATGTGGATCTTAATAGATCACACCAACATTCCACATTCTTCATTTTTTCTTGTTAAAATTGACTTTTGATGTTTTTGAATCTCTCATAGCACTGTGATTAGAATTAGAAATTTTCCCAACTCGCTCATATCCTTGTTTCCGGATTTATAATTTTATCACACATTGATACACCTACAATTATTTATTTTAGAACATATTTCATTTATTTTTAGGCGTTTCCCCTTGATATGTCTCAATACAAAAATCTTTTTAATACAAGTCGTATACCAGACTATGGAAAAGACAGAATTTTTCATGATCCTTCTGCAAAGCATATTATGGTTATGAAGAATGGTAATATTTACAAGTTAACGGTTCTGGATGAGGAAGGTAAGCAGATTTGATTATTCTGGTATCTGAATATACCTTAAATATATATTAAAATTTATATAATATATATATATATATATATATATATATATATATATATATATATATATATATATATATATATATAGTACTCAAAAGTAAAAACTCAAAAAGGGACAGAAGAGACAAATTAAGTTTTTGGACATAATTAGAAAATTCAAAACACAAAGCCTTAAGTCTCTAAAATGCAGGTTGAAAAAATAACCCACCAATATTTCGTTATCAATATTCATTCAAACATCGCCAGGATAGAAAAAAAAAAAAAAATTAAATCACATATATGCAGACAAAATACAACATTTCTCATCAAAAGTAAAAAAAAAAAATTAACTAGAGATAGTAAATCACTCCATGATACAGTTCATCACATACTCCTTGACACTTCAGACCGACGTGGTCCTTGTCCTCCTGACATATGTTCCCCAGATAGTTCGATCTTGTGCTGTCGCTCACCAGTTGTTAATGCTGAGAAGATTGCGAGTATTCCTGGCAACAGTGACTGGCTCAGATGGGAGAGCCATGATCTTCCTCTTCCTCTAGTCCAATGGAGCCTCCCATTCAGGAATTTCTTGAGCATTTTTTCCTCCAGCAATCGTGCAATATTGCCAGTCTACCACAGTCTTCCTAACCTAGCAATCCTTGTTATATCAGCCTTGCCATAAAATTCATAAATTTTCTTATTAGTCCTCCACCTCCAGTCCTCTCCAAAACTTCCTAGTCCAAATATTCGACGAAGAATTTTTCTATCCTCATTACTTGTAAGGGTCTCTGATCCATAAATTAGGAGAGGCCTTATAACAGTTCTATATAAGAGGCACTTAATACAGCGAGAGAGGTAGATACTTTTCATGTGCTTTCTAAGACCAAAATAGCACCTATTGACCTTGATGAGTCACTGACTAGTTTTCATTGAGATCCTTTTTCCATTACTAACCCCAGGTACTCAAACTGGTCGACGCTTTGGAACACAAATTGGCCCATCACCACAGGCTGTCGATTCGCTGTCTGCTCCAGACCCTGCCCTCATATATTTTGTCTCTCCTGTATTCTCCTGTTTTACACACATCCTCATATCCTCTGCAGCCTCCACCAACTTGAGAAAAGCTTCTCTTAAGGACTCAAAGGGTCTTGTGGCAATATCAAAGTCATCAGCAAAGCCATGTACCTGAACGATCCAATTAAAGATGGTTTCAGAGGTCTGTATGCCTGTATCATGTAGGAACTTCTGCAGTAATGGGTTGAATAAATAACAGGCTGGCGAAGCCATCACCCTGTCTATCATCTCTACTAGATCCAAACTGTGGAAAGAGATCTGACTGAACCCTCATAGTACCATCCATGGTCATCTTGATTAGCCGAACAAATTTCAAAGGGACTTCAAGTCCTATTACAGCTGCAAAGTCAACAAAGAGGTGGTAAGTAGGCATCCAATTTTCCTGGAACTTCTTGAGCATCATCCCAAGCCTGAACATTCGATCTGCTGTAGATTTCTCACCTCTGAAACCCGTCTGATATTTTCTGATTTCTCTCTCTGCAAATGGGAGAATTTTCTTAGAAATTACTTTAGAGATAACATTGTAGAAGCAAAATACTCCTGTAGTTGGAGCATTCCAAGATGTTATATTTTTTGTGGAGTGGATAAGTGATGCCTCTCTTCCATTGTTCTGGCATTTTCTCCTCAATCCAGACTGTGAGGATGACGTCGTATAGGGCTCTCAAGAACTCCTCACTACCATGCTTCAAGAGCTCAGTTTTTTCCTGAGCTAGGATTCTTCCCGTCTTCACCTGGAGATTTGTTGTTGTTAAGGTTATTCACAGCATCTTCCACATCATCATAATTAGGTGGGTCGAGAATTTCTGCTTCTTCATCACTACTAGGTATCTCCCACTCTTCTAAGTCTCTCCCGTTATGTCACTCAGCAGATTGTTAAAATTATTGGACCACCACGCCAGTATTTTATTATTTTCCATTTTCATTAAATATCCTCCTTTCTATATGCCCTCATGTGGTTTGAAGCTGGTCCTACTCTGGTTAATCCTCTGATAAAAGATTCTGGACTCCTTTGATTGCTGTATTCTTCTATAAGTTGCTTCTGCTCCCATTTTCTCTTTCTATGGGGAAGCTTCTTTTTCTCTCTTCTCCTATCCGAATATTCTTCAGATGCCTTTTCCTTGTATGCCAATTTCAAGCCTTGTATGCCAAATTTAGGTGCCCGAATATGCCTTTTCTGGACCATGTTTCAATAAGTTTTATTTTTCGCTTCAGTGGCTTTCACCCAATCTCCGTCAAACCAATGCAATCGCATTCTTTGTCCTTCATTCTCTAGGATTTCCTTGGCCACTCTTTTAACCTATGATGAGAGGACATTCCATTTTTCCTCATCACAGGCCTCTGCTACACCAACATTCATGATTGTCTTATCAAGCCTCCAGCGATACTGCACGCTAACTTCTGGTTAACACATTCGTACACATAATCCAAAATAATTAAATAATTAAAGCTATGAGTTTCGAGAGAAAGGTTACCTGGTTACATGCCGTAATGTGAACAAATCATGGTGAGGCTTCTCTCTTTGTATTTTTGGATTTGTTTACTTAGGGGACTCCCATTGTCACTAGTCTTCTATTGGCTAGTCACTATTTATTTAACAAATAGAACTAAAATCCATTTTATTTATTTTTTTATCCATATCCATTTTATTTTTGTTTCCACCTTTCAATATAGTATCTATTAAAATTTCCCATTATGTTTCAGGCCAAATATTGGATCCTATAGCTATTTATTCTGGTTTAAAGTTAATTTTAGATGATCAAAAGAAACCTGCTGAATTCCCTGTTGGTGTTTTAACAACTGAAGATAGAGATATCTGGGCAAAAGCCCGTAAACATTTAGAATCCATAGGCAATGCTGAAGTGTTTAAAATGATTGATAGCAGTATTTTTAACTTAATTTTTGATGATGAAGAACCAACAAAAGATTATAGAACATTAGTTCAGCGTTACCTGCATTCCAATGGTGTAACAAGGTACAATATGTTTTTTGATAGTTTCTATTATTTATGGAGTAAATTTTATTAATTATATGTATTCCATTGATGTTTAACAATACCTTATTATTCTTTTGCAAAGTAATTACTTGTTCATTAGATTGAATTGCTGATAAATAACTATTCAATCTTTGTATACGTTTACTAAAGAAATAAAAATAGAATGATTACAAAAATTATATTTCCTGTACTGTATTACAAATTTAATGAAAACATCACACTACTTGTTCTGTAAGAAGTAAATATACTTTAAATCTACCATATGATGGAATTCCCTTATATGTCTTGAAAGAATCATCTTCATCAATTATTTTCTGTGGCATATAGAAACAAATCTTTGGTTGGAATAATTGGAAGAAAAGGTGTTGAAATACCTGATTCCTTATGGTGCAGAAATGGTTGACCGTAGAAGAAGTGATTTCAGGAGAAGGTTGAAGGGTGAGTTCTAGGATGACAACACGCTGATAAATTATAACTTCCTTTTAATGTGGGCCGACATTTAGGCTTAAGTTGTTTGGCTTCATGAGGATGACTAACCCCAAGAGAGTTTAAAGGACAAGTCACCTGGTTCCTCTTTTGTTTTCTGTAATCTGTATAGGAATAAATTACCACAAATTGTAGAAGATAAATTTAACTATTGCTGAATATACATATTTTCAGCAGTTGCAAAGAGTAATAGAGAAATTCCATGAAAAGTGACCTGTCCTCGTCAATTACAAATTGACATTTTTTTTTTTTTATATGATAGATTAGATATTCTGTTTAACTGAATTATTAATGTGTTTTAGATTTTGATCCTACAAAATACGACTTTTTGTATTGTTATCAAAATTTTTACCATAAGTAAACATCTAAATGCTGAAAAATGTTGTCGATTCCAAACCAACCACCTTTTTCAAGGAATTAATAAGATGGAAGAATGGTATAGATAATAGAAATGAATACATAAACAATTATTATAATATTGTTATTTAATAAAATTAAAATAAATACCTAATAAAAAAATGGAAGTTATTTATGATTCAACTAAATTTTTGGAAATAGGACACTTAAGCGATGCATTTTATTGTAACAATTTTTCTCTCTAATCAGCAGATCTAAGTATCTTTACCAAGCTCACAGGCGGATCTAGGAAGAGGAGAGGGGAGGCTTTCAGGCTGAAGCTTCCCCCCCAAAAATGGTTAAATGTAACCATGTTTTATGGTAAAACATATTAAAGTATTATTGTTTGTGTAATTACATTTAATAGGACTTCAAGAATCACTTAAACACTATTTCATATAGGTAATTAGTTTCTTTATTTTTTTTCCTAAGTAATTATTATTCCTCGCGCGGGCTCATTACCGCGTATGGGGAGCGTCCCACGGGTGGCGGATGTGGGGATGGTCGGTGGAAATTCCTTGGAAGTTCCTCCCGGCTAAGTCCGATGGACTCGCTGACCAACAATGAGAGGGGCCCTCCAGACTTGCTGGAGGGTGTGACGTAGGATTGAACGCCCTACTCACATATCTTTAGTTCACCAAACACCACAAAAAGTCATGGATCTCCCTAAGGTAAAACGCTCATTATCCGGAGGTAAACTAGTCCCCCGTTCGGGTCTCCGGGTGGGGACTGCTTTAGGGGATTCATGGCGCAAGTTGAAATATAGGGATTTAAATATTGGTACGTGGAACGTAAGGAGTTTAAACACAGCAGGGGGGCTAAAATCGGTCGCGAATGAGGTAAATGGGTACAATTTGGATATCGTGGCTCTGCAAGAGGTTCGCTGGCCAGGGGAGGGCTCGATGAGGGAAGGGAAGTACACTATTTGGTACGGAGGAAGCGGGAATCATTGTTTAGGTACCGGGTTTCTAATTAGGAGTAGATTACTATCCGCTTTGAGGGACGTACAATTCTTTAGTGATAGAATTTCGGTAGCTACATTTCAGGGAGGTTGGTTTAAAATCGCATTAATAAACATACATTGTCCGACCGAAGACAGTGACGATGAAGTCAAAAGTGAATTTTACGATAAACTCGAATGGGTTTATGATAAACTACCGCGAAACTACATGAAAATAATTGTAGGTGACGCGAACGCAAAGGTAGGAAGGGAAGAAGTTTATATTCCGACGATTGGTAAAGAAAGTTTGCACGAATATAGTAATGATAATGGGATCCGTCTGATAAACTTTGCCATCTCGAAAAACCTGATAATTAAAAGTACGACGTTTAAACATAAGGATATTCATAAATATACTTGGACATCACCGGATTCGCAAACACGAAATCAAATCGATCATGTCTTGATACAACACAGCTGGCAAAGCAGTATAATTAATGTACGGTCTTATCGCGGAGCAGAATGTGGGTCGGATCATGAATTAGTAATCGCGAAACTTCGACAAAAACTTAATATAAAAAAGAGAAAAGAAAACCGCTTCGATTTTGAGAATTTTAATTTGGAAAAATTAAAAAACCCATCAATTAGAAACCAATTCGAGCTAGATGTTAAGAATAGGTTTGAAGCTTTAGAGCTTCCTGACGAGGACCACGAGGATATTGACAAGTTATGGATAGAGATCAGAGATAATATTAAAGCGGTCGGTGACTCGTGTCTAGGAAAAAAGGAAAATAAGAATAACAAACCGTGGTTTGATGAAGATTGCTTAAACATGTGTGAAAAAAGAAAAGCCGCTAAATTAAAAGCTCTAAATAATCCTAGCGAAGACAATCTGGAATACTTTCGAATCTCAAAGAACGAAACGACAAAATTGCTCAAAAATAAAAAAAGGGAGCATCTTAAAAATAAAATAATTGAAATAGAAACTAATAGAATCGAAAATAACGTAAGAGACATGTATCAAAGGTATAAACAGATCACGTAAATATGTAGGGCCCGTAACGTCTGGAATTAGGGACGATAATAACAATATTCTGACCGATCCGGTTGACATATTGAATAAGTTTAAGGACCACTTTGACAATATTTTAAATACGGAAAATTATGATCTGTGTCCTCCTTCTGAGTACCAGAGTGCTGAACCGTTAATAGAAGGACCAAGTAAAGAGGAAGTTGAAGTAGCTATCGGAAAATTAAAATCATAAAGCAGCGGGAATCGATAATATTCCTACTGAACTAATTAAGGCATGCGGGGAAGCTGGAGTTTCTAAAATACATCGGTTGGTTAAAAAGATCTGGGTGAACGAGAAATTACCTGAAGAATGGAAAGAATCTATTCTTATTCCGATTCACAAAAAGGGTCCGAGGACGGATTGTAATAACTATCGAGGAATTTCACTCCTTCCGATATGTTATAAAATATTCACTTCAATCTTAACCAGTCGAATCACGGAATACGCCGAGGAAATTATCGGAGACTACCAATGCGGATTTAGACGGAATCGTTCGACAATTGATCAAATATTTTCTTTACGGCAAATATTAGAGAAAAAATTGGAGTATAACGGTATTGTTCACCAGCTGTATATAGATTTTAAAAAGGCTTACGATTCTATTGACCGCCAGAAACTGTTTAATATTCTAATCGAGCAGGGGATTCCAAAAAAACTAGTAAATCTAGTCAGGATGTGCTTGACGGAGACACTCAATAAAGTTAGAATCGGTAATAATTTGTCCGAAAAATTTGAGGTTCGTTCGGGCTTAAAACAGGGGGATTCTCTTTCGCCTGTCCTGTTCAATTTGGCATTAGAACATGCCATTAGGGAGGTAATGCGAACCGAGAAAGGGTTGGATCTGGGCGGGACAACATCCTTGCTGAGCTATGCTGATGATCTGGTACTGTTAAGCGAAGACGTTGAAACTATAAAACTAAATACAACAACGTTAATGAAAGCCGGTAAAGAACTAGGACTCGAAATAAACGTGGATAAAACAAAATATATGGTTAGCTGCAAAAATGGCGATACTACTGGTGATATCGTTATAGATGGTAATATGTTTGAACAGGTAGATAAATTTAGGTATCTAGGTTCTACGATAACTAGAAAAAACGAAATTGAAGAAGAGATTAAGGTTAGACTGAAGGCGGGGAATACTTGTTATTTTTTTGTGACAAAACTACTTAGTTCGCGCCTCTTGTCCCGGAACTTAAAAATTAGAATCTATAAAACAATTATCTTGCCTACAGTTCTTTATGGATGCGAAACTTGGCCGCTTACATTAAGGGATGAGCAGCGTCTTAAGGTTTTTGAAAATAAAGTATTGCGTAGAATATTCGGACCGAAGAAGGATGAGTTAACCGGAGAGTTCAGACGGTTACACAACGCCGAATTGCGTGAGCTGTATCCGGGTAATATAAGTGAGGTAATTTCATCGCGGCGAATCAAATGGGCTTGTAAAGTTGTTGGGCTTAGTAACGAGAGAATTCCTAAAAGGTTAATATTTGCTGTGCAGAATGGTAAGCGTCCGAGGGGTAGACCGAAGCGAAGGTGGGAAGATTGCATTAAAGCCGATCTGAAGGGACTGGGTTTGGACGGCGAACGGTGGAGGGAGGTGTGTAACTAGCGATTGGTGGTGTCGGCATCGAACCTTTGGGTTCGCTAAGCCTTTTTATTATTATTATTAAGTAATTATTATTATATATGTGAAAAACAAAGCTTTTGGGCTGAATTCCCTCCCCAAAATTAAATCCTGAATCCGCTAGTGACCAAGCTTGAAATTATAAAAAAGTTAATGAACTTTTAAAAAATTTAAATCTTAAGTTTGCCCGGATTTTTCATTTAGAATTAAAACTCAGGTACATAAAAATACATTATGCAAGATTACACTGTCAGCAGTTCAAAATCAAAATGAAAAATATTATGTCAAAGTTATCAAGGCTCTTGAGAGATAATTGAGCATTATCAATAAAGGTTGGTTTAAATTGGAGATAACATTGTTAATTACATGAAATGAGGTATTAAACATGTTACTAACATTTTTCAAAGATTTACCTGATAAGTGTTAATAACATTTGATTTTGATGATATCTTTTGATTTTGTTTACAATGATTCATTTAAAATGTTATTAACATTTTTGTTTGTATCTTTGCTTATAACAATTGTTATTAAACTTTTTTCAGTAACATACTAAAATTGTAAATAACATCAATTTTTCTTTCTCTAGAGAACTAAATACTCCATTCCAGTCTGATCAAATAATAAAACAACATCGCTTTTAGTGTTTATGTTGCAAGAGAGATGTTAATTTGATGATTCCTGGTACAACATAAATGAATTTTCTTTATATACCATCTCTTTTGATAAATTTTAAAAGTAAAAAAGTTTAGTACAATTACGATTCCAAATTTCCACCATGTTTGTTTCTCTGAAAATACAGAACTACAATAGCAAAGAGACTACAATACCACCTTGTAAGACTCCTCAAATACTTTTGTATTTGACAAACAGATCCCATGGTCCAATTCAGTGAAATATTTAGGCCTTGATCTTGATAAGTCCCTAAATTTCACCCAGCATGTAAACGACAAATGAAATACAGCAAAAACATTATTAGCAAAATATATAAAGCTGTTATTCGCCATATAATCACATATTCTTCCCCAGTATGGAGGTAGGTTGTATTTCCACCATGGTATCAGCAAATGCGATTCATATATTTTCTCATTCATTTCTGTAATGGCCTAAATCAATATTTCCAGAGCTAACAATTTGGACATTGGCCCCGAGCCACGTATCCTTTGACTTTTCTAAAATGCTTAAACTGCCTTTTTTGCAACCAGCATTTGCAAATAACATTTGTATTGTTTACATTTTAAGCTAACTATTAACACTGGACAGCTATGGAATGTTACTAAAATGAATTATAATGAATAATGTCAGTAAAAAAGTAAAATTTTGGTTTGGTCAGGACATCTGTATCAAAATTTGTATTAGTATGATAAAAGGGGTGATAGTATGATGCATCAATATTTATATAAAAATATAGCATACATTAATTATTCTCCAATAAATCAATTATAACAAGTAGTATTAAATTAGTGCTTCAAATGACTTGAGTAGTCCCCTAATGGTCATCCAGATGTCGCCAGCAGTGCCTCCTCCCGTCCTTCATTCCGATTAGACATTGATTTCTGCATGATTCTTTCATTGTTCTGTTCAAAACAGTTTGAACAAAAATTTTTTGTGATTTAATTTTTACTATTCTACAGTTAAATATTTTATTCATTATCATCAGTCAGCTCTACACTCCATCACTGGGTTCTGGCCTCCTCAAGCAGCTTTCGCCAGTTAATTCAGTCAAGTGTTGCTGCCCTCCAGCTTCGAACACTGAGCAGGTTTCTCGAATCTTCATTTACACCATCAGCCCATTGTTATTTTGGGCAGCCTCTTGCTTGTTTTCCATTTAATTCTTCATCCAGGAGTTTCCTAGGAATTTCTTGTGCATCCATCCTGGCCACATGACCCACCTATTGAAGCCTGCCAAGCTTTATCATTTTAACAACATCTGTTTCCTTTAATAAGGAGTGTATTTCGTTGTTTGTTCACCTTCTCCATGTTGTCTTCTCTCTTAGTGGACCATAAATACATCACAAAATCTTTCTTTCGAATATGAAAAGGTTTCTTTTATCACTTTTAGAGAAAGCCCATTTTTCCAATCCGTATGTAAGTACAGGCCTAATGAGTGTCTTGCTCAGTCTTATTTGTGTAGTTCTGGAAAGTAAACTGTCGGCGAAGTCCAAAATAGCATCAATTAGCAGATGCTATTTTCTTCTTATTTCAGACAAAATATCATTATTTTCGTTTACCTGGGAGCTCATATATATAAATTCACTAACACATTCAAATGTGCAGGACCCAAATTGTATATTAATTTCATCAGGAGGCTTCATTTCTTCAATGACGATGTATTTAGTCTTCTGAGCGTTCACTACAATGCCCATTTTTTTTGCAGATGACTCAAGGGCAAGGGACACTTCTTTTACAGCCATTCTGGATCTTTCAATGATGTCTAAATCATCTGCGTAGCCAAGGATTTGAATTTTGTGATTGAAGATGGTTCTGGATTCCTGTTTCTCTGACCGCTTCTTCCAAACATAAGTTAAAGAATAGGCATACAAGGGAATCTCTTTGTTGGAGACTAATATTTTACTATCATGACAAAATTGAACATACATGCATTTGTATATTGGTAAACATTGACTGATTTATTTCTAAAAAAGTTAAATACCACATTAATAATGTATATTACATTATGATACATATTATATTAACCTCAAGTTTAATATATTATTTATCATAATATAATACATGATGTAAGTGATACTAGTCAAATTTGATATTATACTAAAATAATGACAATTTTTCACATTATCTAAACATCGGATATTGTGTAAAATTAATAATTCCGTCAAATGATATATAATAATAATTAAAGGCTTATCGAACCCAAAGGTTCGATGCCGACACCACTAATCACTTATTACACACCTCCCTTCACTGTTCGCCATCCAAAACCAGTTCCTTCAGATCAGCTTTAATACAAACTTCTCACCTTCGCATCAGTCTACCCCTTGTACGTTTACCATTTGGTACAGTAAATATTAACCTTTTAGGAATTCTTTCGTTTCTAAGCCCAACAATTTTACAAGCCCATTTGATTCGCTGTGATGTAATCACCTAAATTATATTAACCGGATACAGTTAATGCAATTCAGCATTTCAAATGATATATAACTAATGAAATTTAAGTCCATTCTGGAATTTTCCTAAACTAAAAAATTGCAAAAATAAGAATTTCTAGTGATAAAATTAATTTAGCCTTATGTTAACAACTTTTTTCTAGCCTTTTAACATACTTATACAAATTATTAATATATCATAATTAATTTTTGCCATGGCTGAGTTAAGCTGATTCGAAGAGAATGGGTACTGTATCTTCTTTATACGATTTTGAATAGCAGTGTTAATAGTTAGCTTAAAATGTTAACAATATAAATGCTATTTGCAAATGCTGATTGCAAAAAAGGCAATTTAAGCATATTAGAAAAATCAAAGGATATGTGACTAGTGGCCAATGTCTAAATTGTTAGTTCTGGGAATATTGATTTATTCCCTGTATAGAAATGAATGAGAAAATACATCAATGACATTTGCTGATATCATGGTGGAAATTTGTGTTAATATTTGGGAAATATAAAATTGGTTTTAACCTTTAAATTTTATCAAAAGAGATGATATATGAAGAAAATTCATTTACGTTGTACCAGGAATCATCAAATTAACATCTCTCTAGCAACGTAAACACTAAAAGTGATCCTAGTTCTTACCTAAACTTCCTCTAATATATCTTGATAGAACGACAGCATATTTCAATTGGGCACAGATGAACAATAGAAACTCCTACTAGCCTAAAAAAAACAACATATCACCACAATTGTGTTTTCCATAGTTTATGAAATGTACTTTTAGAATTAAAAATTTTATGAAATGAAAATTTTCAGTATAAAAAAAATCAACATTGACCCTTTTAGAAGGGAGCGGCAGATATTACTTTAGTGCTGCAGTTTCCAAACTACGGCCCACGAACTGGATATAGCCCACAAAAGTTTCTTTGATTATATAGTAAAATTAAAAAAAATATGAAATATAGTAAATCACTAAAACACAAGCTTACTTTTGGACATAGTGACAGTCTCAATAAGCGCAGGAGTTAGTGGAGGTCACAATGTGCAAAATGTACACAAGACCGTTGCTTTTATGTATTTACTTACATATATACATAGGTTAATAGAAAGTGTTATTAATTTAGGCATGATGTTTTGAAAATAAATATTTGAATTTATTCCATTAAACCTAAATTAATACAATACTCAATTTTTCACATTTTTTTTTTATATATCTCTTCATAGCCTTGTGTTTATGTTATATAAATTATTATTTAACAATTGGTGTGGGAAGTATATTGATTGCTGCTTGTTTATCAATATTTGTAATGTTATGAAGTTGGGTTTTGTTATGTTAGGAGTATGTGCATTGTCCGTTTGTGTGTGTACCGTTTCAGTAATTTCTTGTCATAGTTTCCTATTGTTTAGATTATGGGATTATCAGATATTGTTGTAAGCTCAAAGAAGCTCAAGGGCTAATAACTGCTTTATATAAAATCAATTTATTTGTTGAAGATAATTGGGAGTATCTATTGAAATACGGGAACATTTTGCTAATAATGTTTTTGCTGTATTGCATTTGTTGTTTACATTAGATGAAATTTTGGGACTTATCAAGTTCAAGGGCTAAATATTTCACTGAATTGGACCATGGGATCTGTTTGTCTTTTATGAGTATTCTATCAGTTATATACTTTGTCTTCTTTTTGTGAAAAGTATTGCTTCTGTTTTTGTTTGTTTAATTTTATCTTCCATTTTCCAAAACAGGACCTATCTCTCAGATTTAATTAAAATCATGGCTATTCTATAATGAACATACTTATTTTTTAATAATCATAATGTTTCAGGTGGTTCGACAAGTCATTCTCTTTAATTGTTGGCAGAGATGGTACAGCTGGCTTAAATTTTGAACATTCATGGGGAGATGGTGTAGCTGTATTAAGATATTTTACTGATATCTATAATGATTCCACCAAGAATCCTCAAATTCATCCTACATCTAAATGCGACTTGAGCAGTGCTGAAAACTTAGTTTCAAATTTAAGTATGTTTTAGTTTGTCCTCCTATTCTTTTTTTTATCTAAACTATTGTGGCAAAAATCACCCATGACCTTATATAATATTCAGATATAACTAAATATATTTATTACTTTACATATTGTATTTTCTATAAAATATGATTGAACTTATGTTTATTTTATGTAGTTAATACTTAAGTACAATACTTTCGACTTATGGTCTATTTCTTAATTATACCTCCAGATTGTGGAGATTAGTTTCATTTCTAATTTAAAAATAATGTATCACTTCTACAGTTTATCAGCCCATTATTCCATAACCCTTCAGTCCATCAAATAATTTAATCTACTTCTGGCCTCTGAAATCAGGCACTGAGGGAAGGGAGCTCATTGTTGCACTGCAACAAAGTGAAGCCCTTTTACATCTTCTTATAGTTATTAGTATTGCTATTAATTATAACAGCAGTCACCTATATTTCATATCCTCTCCACCATGATTTTTCTCAATCAAGTATTAAAAATTCATATAATTCATTTTTAACTTGCCTAAGAATATGAATAAGCTCATTATTTGCATTAATAAGGCAAGTTCTTATCTGTTCTTTTGTTAGATCACTTTATAATAGAAATAAATGAATGTGGTACAGAAGTTACTCTGGAAAAATGAGATGAGGATCATTTTAAATCAATATAAAAAATTATTTACCCATCAAGGCACTGAAGGATATTTTCAAAACATTCCTTAATAAAACGATGATTCAGATTCTTTTCTGTTGGTAAGGCTCTCATTTAGTAGGATTCCAATACACATTTCCAGTACATTTTTTCCTCTGAAGTACTTTTAATTTTATTTTTTTGTAGAAATATTTAAAGGTTGGTAGAGATAAAAATTGTATGTATATTAAAATCAAAGAATTTTAAAATTAATTTAAAAAAAATTAAAAATATTTTTGAATACTTAATAGCTGACCATTGTATTATTAAGGAAGGAGATGGTCCTAAATAGTGGCAAAACTATTATATAAAAGGCCAACATTTCGATCCAACTTTGCACGTCTTCTTCAGGGATTGAATGGACAAGATACAAAACGATATAGAGAATTGTAGAAGTTACATAATATTTAGATAATAAATTATAAACAATGTGAATAAACTTATTAAACTATTTTACTTACTTATTTATTTATTTTTTGTTTTTCTGTTTCCTTTTCTTTCTCCACATCCCTTTATGTACATTATTTCATATATTATCCTTTTTCCTTTTCTTCCAATCTCTCCTTTAGATCTGTAGGAGTATATTCACAATTGCATATATTATATTATATATTATACTACAACAATTTTTACCATCTATTTACTTCAGTTAAGGATCTTGTTACTTAGATTACTCTGTTTATATAACTTATTGTTCTTAATGTTTTAATGTTCTTACTGTTCATAATTTTAATAAGTTTATTCACATTGTTTATAATTTATTATCTAAATATTATGTAACTTCCACAATTCTCTATATCTTTTTGTATCTTGTCCGTTCTAGCCCTAAAGAAGACCTGCAAAGTCATGTTGAAACGTTGATAAGTTTTGCCACCATTTAGTCTGTTTATGAGCGCCATCCCGGACCATCTCCTTCTTTAAAAATATTTTTGCATGTTGCAAACCTAGTTCTATAAATGAAAGTAGTAATATAGATGTGTGATGTACTGTTAGAAAGCTAGAGATTTTAGAAAAAATAAAATCTGACAAATGAGGTCATTGAAGGCCTGGGAGAATACTAATGACTCTTAATTGCTGTAGTTAATAGTGTCTACTTTTATATTATAGAATGGAAAATAATTGTTTCCTTAGAAAACATATAGATAACAATTTTTTTCAACTTTATACAATAAAAATATGTATTGCATAGAATTTTCATAATCTACATTAACTGTTTAAAAATTAAGTTCTAAGTAAGTCATGTGATGCTTCTTGCCAGATTTTTTTTATTTTACTCTTCAGAATTTTTGAAATTGGAATTTTGTAACTATCATTTGTATTTATTTTCAGTGTTTAATTTAGATAACACGTCAAATGAATTAATTGTAAATGCAAAAAATAAATATTCATTAATATGTGATTCTCTTGGCATTGAACTTTTTGAGTTCCTTAAGTTTGGAAGAAACCTATGTAAACCCCATGGTATTAGCCCAGATTTGATCATGCAGCTTGCTTTTCAGGTAAGAAGTACATTTTAACTATAGTTGATTAAGAATTAATTATATTTTATATTAATTAAGTCATTTTTTTATGTTGCTGACCTACCCTCATTTTTTATCATCATATTTCTGAAGTAAGTTTTTATGTCTTCATTATATCTTATTTTAGCTGGCATATTACAAAATGAACAACAACTTTACTTCAACATATGAGTCCTGTAGTACTGCAGCATTTAAACATGGGCGAACTGAAACTATGAGACCTTGCACCGTTGAAACCAAAGTAAAGATCAGTAAAGCATATTAAAATTGATTTTTATTTCCTTTACCATTATTGTGTCATTAGATGAATTTTGTTAATTTGTTTTTAATAGAAACTATGTGAAGCAATTGTTAAGGAAGGCAGTTCTAATAAGGCTGATTTACTTAGAATGATCAAAGATTGTTCTGTAAAACATGGACAATTAATAAAAGAAGCAGCTATGGGTAAGCTTTAAAAATTATATGTGATTAAAAATAATCTTTTACATTATTCTATCTAACAATTTTCTATTATTTGGAATGATTTCAAGAAAAATAAATGAAAATAGTAATGACTAAAGAGCTTTAACAATATGTTAAATAATTTACTTTTTGTTTGAGTATTACTTGACCCAAAACTAAAGAGGAATGCAAGTTATCTGCATTAGACTGAATTGAGTTTTGATGAAACAATGCATTTTCATAAATTTTAAGGTTATATATCCATTTCACCAAATAAATAGGGTGAACTTTCATTTGACTTGAAATTATACTCCTCCAGAGGAGTAATGAATATATTTTCTTGATAAGTAATTGGTTCTTGATAAGATTACTTAGACTGTTTTGACTGGGATTCAGTTAATGAAAAATTGTCTAATCTAATCTGGAAGAGCAGTTATTTTCGGATACAAAATGGGGTCCTTCATAAAAAAATGAAGTTCTTAATAAAAATGGAGTTCTTCATAAGAATTTCCATAACTAATCGGGAAGAGATGTTACTTGATGAGACTCGCTTGTGTTAATAGTTAGTATTTTTTATCAGCAAAAGAGAAATTAGTTTAGGAGTGAGTAAGAAGGTACCAGTAATATTAATGACAAATTACTACTGAAAATTGATATGTACCAAGTGCAAATAAACCTCATATATATTAAGAGCCAAAGAACCTAGCACAATGATTGGTTTAATTGTCAATCTTTCTGAGGTTAGTTTGTGGAAGAAAGACAGACCAGAGGAGTCTTCTCCATACCTCATTAATGCTTGAAAGAAACTGACCTTCATTAAGTATATGTTAGCAAAATGATGTCTGTTAACAAGGATGCCTATGGCTTGACCATAGAAAAAGTTATTACATCATCTTTTCTTTCCCCAATTACAGTTTACCGCAGACAAGGTGGCAATTTTCTGTATTAACGCCAGATTAGAAGCCAAAACAAATGAATTCCTGAAAAAAGTGATGTCTGACCATATTAGCTTTTATCTCCTGTAGAGATTTAAATTTCTTAATATAAATTTGGCTCTTGTTAACCCATTAATGAAGAATAAAAAGGTTTTATTCCCTGGAAATCCTCATCATATAGTTGTTTTGAGAAAAAAATGGTTGTCAATACACCATATCATTCAATAATTAAATGTTGGGAAAGCGATTTTGTAAGTTGATAAATAATCATTAAAAAACATTCAAGATAGTTCTCAAAAAACTTGTTGCAATGAGCATTCTTTTATTGTCATGAGTGGCCATAGATATCAAAACTTTACTGAATTTACTCCGTCTAAACCAACACAGTACAATAGTAACAGTAAGTGGCCAAACTTGTTCTTGTCTCAGTTTTTATGTTTGATTTTACTAAAATACCTAGATCTACAGAAATCATGTGTTATACTCAAAAATCTGTTCTGAATATAAAACACGTGCCTGGTTACCTGTAAATGTCTTTTCTATCACCCCCAATAGTGTTGCCACCCCCAAGTATACATTAGATACAAAATTTAAATATAGATTAATTATATTGATTAATTAAGCATTGTAACTTGGTTGATATCAATATATTTAGTTACTACAAATGAAGTACTGAAATAGTGATTGAATAATCTTGAAAAATGAATGAATATAAAATTTTAATCTTTATTTTTGTCATAATGATGCAGCATTTTGGATTTCTAAATAGGTCAGTGATAACAATTATGTTATTGGCTTAGCATATAGTTATTTATATTTGTCTGCAATTTGCAATGAATAGTTACTATTATACACTAGAAAGTTATACCTTATATATTTTTGCTTTATGTGTATAAGTAAATGAGAAACATTTATTTACTCTGTTGTGAGACTTATAGTTAAAATTAATAAGTAATACAAATTTGTTATTTTGAAGAACACTTTAAAAATCCTTTATATTTCACAAAACTTTATTGTACTTTTATCTCCTTTTTATATCTGATGACGTTTTGGGCCACTTCACTCAGTTTTAATTCTTAGAATCATATCCATAACATTAATAATAATATTATTAATATATATAAAAATTTATCTGCATATTAACAATAAAAAAAATAAAATAAAACTTTGTATTTTCGTTTTAAAATTTTGGAATAAAATACAAGTTTAACAAAATATTTAAAAAAAGTAATAATTATAAACAGTTTATATATGATTACATAATAATGTTATGTTTAATTTGATTCACTAATAGTGATTAAAAAAATATTATTAATGTGCTGATAAATTTTTATATATTAATAAAATTGTTATTAATGTTATAGATATGATTCTTAGGCTTGAAAATAGGTGAAGTAGCCCAAAACGTCAGATGTAAAAAAGAGATAAAATCGCTATAAAGTTTGTGATGTATAAAGGATTTTTTTAAGTGTTCCTCAAAATAATAAATTTATATTGACAAGCTATATATCCTTAAAAATGTATTATTTATAATTTTATGTGTAATAAATAATTTTTTAAAACAAGTTGTAGATTTAATTATATTTATATGTATCTTTATTATTCTAAAAATCTCATATTCAGGTCAAGGATTTGATAGGCATTTTTTTGCTTTGAATCTGCTGGCACAAAAAACTGGAAGGATCCCAAGTATATTTTCTGACCCTTTCTATAAACAATTGAATCATTACGTAATGTCAACATCTACATTGAGTTCCAATATTGTATTACTTGGAGCTTTTGGGCCAGTTGTTCCTGAAGGATTCGGTATTGGGTGAGTATATTAATTTTCTTTGTAAAGTTTTAAATTAAATAAGAAAAAAAAGAGTTTGCTTGATATTTTTTAATAATTTTATAGAATTAATATTTTGTCCCATTATTAAGCATCATATTTTGTGTAGGTTTTATTTCTAAAATAAATTTTTAGCTACGTAATTACTTAGATAGATTTCAATTCAAATGAATTCTGAAAGTATATCTGTTACAATATTTAAATTCTTGACCGCTTTTAACATTTTTACTTGGTTGAATTACACAATGAGTTGCCATCTTGAATCATTGTGTTGTGAGGTTCATTTTATGAAAATAATAATGCTTCTTCTTTTGCTTCACCCTGTAGTGCCTTTCAGCGTAGGAGACGTCTAACCAGGATTGCTAATATTTCCTGATTATTGCAAGATTTCTGGCTTGGTGTATATTCTTATTTCTGTTTTTGGACAGACGGTCTACGTATTCGAGGTACGACATTCTCAGTCTGCCGCGGAGTCTTCTACCATCGGGGACATAGTCTGTAGACTTTAATGGATCCCTGTGTTCTTCCATCCTGACGACATGCCCAAGCCACTTAAGCTGCCGAGTCTTTAGGACATCCTTCATCGGGGGAACCCCCAATTCCTCCCTGATTCTCTAGTTGCGAATGCAGTCATGTCTCGTTCTCCTTGCGATCCTCCGGAGAAACCTCATTTCTGCAGCAGTGATTTTTCTCTCTAATTTGTCAGTCAGCACCCAGCTTTCTGCATCGTACAGGAGTACAGACAGGTGTACTGCCTTAAATATATGCAGTTTCACACCTCTGCTCACTTCTCTCTTTCCGATCACAGTATTGCAGATCTGGTAGTATATAGCGTTTGCTTTGCTTATCCTGTTCAGAATTTCTGAACCCACTTTCCCAAACCGATCCATAACAGTACCAAGGTAGGTGAAATCTGACACTACTTCCATCATCTCTCGGTTGCAACACACTGTAACATCTTCCTGCACCCTTCCAATCTGTAGGATCTTGCTCTTTCTTGTACTGATGATCATACCCTACCTGCAGAGCTCTTCATTCCTTTCATCAACTGCCTGCTGTAATTTCTCCATGGAATCAGCAATTCCACAATTTATCGACCTCATATAGAAAAAACTGAATTACACCTGGAAGCAGATTCCTTTGCTCCAGAAACGTCCTTTCTGTTCGTCTTTTGCAGATTGCAGCTATTTAATCCATGTATAATGTGAATAATAACGGGCTTAAACTATCCCCTTGTTTAACCTCCCCTCCCTCTAGCTATGCTAAAGTAGCCAAATTCCTGTCCATTCAGTCTGACTATTCCTTTTGGATTTTGGTATATGGATTTAATGGCCTCAACCAGGCTTCTAGGAACATTCTTTACTCTTAGTGTTTCTCATATTTCGTTTCTTGGGACTGAATCAAATGCTGCTTGAAAGTCGAGGAAGGCTAAGTACATATTTTTATCATTCTCCCATGATTTTTGCATTATATTCCTGGAATATATGGTCCTGTGTCTGAAGCCCTGGTCTGAAACCAGCTTGCTCCTCTCCTATGAATGGTTCGACTAGAGGTCTCAGTCTATTGTGCAGGATGGATGTATACAACTTCTATAACACTAGAGACAGGCATATGGGTCTGTAGTTGGAACATTCAGCCTGACTGCCTTTTTTATGCATGGGAATTATGACATTATATTTCCATTGTGTAGGAATCCTTTTCCTGTCCCAGGTTTTTTGAAAAAGTATTTGGAGAGACCTCACTAACTCCATCCCACCATACTTAACAAACTCTCCAACTAAATTTTATTTTTAATTATCTTTCTTTAATTATATTTTTCAACGATTTTTTAGGTTATTTATTAATAAACTAAATTTTTAGTTATGTAGATAGTAAGATAGATTTTAATTCAAACAAATTCTATGGTTAATTAATACCACAGGGAAATCACAATTATTTGAACTTTTAACTAACAGAGTGTCATTTCTAAGTCCCCAAATTACCAAGTTTTTTGGGGGGAATTTTGTTATTAATATAGTTTCAATAAAAATAATTCTGTATTCAGAACTTCAAATACTTTTCTTTTAAATTGTAAATTTTGCATTACAATGTTTATACAATAAATTAATAATATTTACACTTTATAAAAAAATTAAATATTGCTAAACATTTTTTGCTACATACAATTATTATATTGATTGACATACCAATGATTGGCCATTAATGTTTAATATATTATTTGTATCAAGATCCCTGCTAATTTCTTGAAGAGTAAGCTAGTAAAGATTGTTAGTTGGTTTTTTAGTTGTGAGATTTGTTATTTCAATTCATTGACTCTACACATTAACCCTCTAGGATAAATTCTCGTATCCTTCTTCACTGAGGTGCATTGAGAAGTTCCTTATGCTGTTAATCCCTTTTTATAGTAATGGTGAATAATTAGCCCCATGTTAGATGTCCTATTTCTTTCAGCCTACTGATCCTTTAACCTCCCCAGTAGAATATTAAGATGTGGTGAGAAAAGATACATTTGTGTGAGACACTCAGGTTAGGATCATGATTCAACATATAATGGTATTAATGAGGTATAGTAAGGTCATTTCTCACAATTGCGATTAACTTGGAAGTGTACCAATGCAGTGTTAACATTATAGTGGTAGTTATTTAGTAATAAGGTATGACTATATGAAATTTTAATGATCTAATTTGCATCCAGTTAGATTAATTCTTTCTTTCAATTGTTACAACTTTAGGTGAATCATGGTTTCCCTTACCTTTTATTTCTCATGGTGTTATCCTCCAATTCTGTGAAAAACAAACATTTTGCCAGGTCTCAGCGTAGAGGAGTCGGAAAAGGCAGAAAAAAAGTAGAAAAAATCTCTTTTTACATTAACAAAAAGTCTTGAATATTTGAATGAATTATGTACTTGCTAGTCTAGTCAATGAATGTCTAAAAAGAGGGTATAGAGTGCGTGAGCTGGGACTGAAGCAATTCCTTCAGAAACTTGTTCAAGGTGCTTAGGGGTGATATGCTTAGGGTATGAGCATATCATAAGTCCTGAAGACTAGGTGGTAAGCTGGGGAAGAAGGGAGGGGGGATGAAAGGTCACAGTTTTTTTATGTTTGCTTATATCTCGATAACGGTGCATTGCAGGGGAAAGTTTCCTATCGTACATTAAAGTTTATAAAATTATCTAAAACTTTTATTCTACAGGTTTTATCCAAATTGTAAACCGTTTTCAATCTTTGTATTCATATTTATTGTATCATATTCATATTATTAAAATTTTAAATAAAAACAAATGTAATAATAAAAAAATGCTTTTAATTTACAAGATATATATTAAATATACCAAAACATTATACGTATATAATGAAAAAACATTACAACATATATATATATATATATATATATATATATATATATAAATAAATGAAATAATAAAAATAGGCAAAAAATAGACAAAAAAAAAATGAAATAATAAAAAAACACTTAAACAACATATGTACATATAAAAGAAACACTGTGAAGACTATAAAAAATATATGTACATATAAACATATGCACATATGTACACTTGATGGATCAACAAAATTATACCGGTGATTCACCTGGAAATGATTATACTTTGCTTCATTGAGTTGTATCCTTTCCAACAGTCCGAATAAATGAAGCTTCCCTCTTGTATATTGTTTTTAATAGCTTCTAATAAAGTTGCTTTTCTGTCGTTTATTTTGACGATAAAACACTACTCTGTTTCTCAGCAAACTCCGCCAAACATCCATTGCTCAGGTAGAACTATTTATTTATTTATGCCTCCCTTCCTTGCCTTTCCGCTACACGGGATTTTGCAGGGATGGCGTATCACACACGTGCATGCCATTCCTGCTATTAAACCACAAATTAATTTTCAATTTTGTTTTGTTTTTTTCAAATATCTTCTTTTTTCATTATTTTCAATATATTAGTCTGGTGGCCTTCTATTAGCAGGTTCTCTTCCTAGATTATTTGGGATAGATTAAGTGGGAGAGTCCCAGAGCAGCTTTCCACCTGTACACAAAATCTTTGTAATACGGGTAGTTCTGCTCCGTCACTAACTCGGGAAATTCATCCTCCGTGAGGCCATAGATTCCCATTTTTCTTATCATTTCGGCCCTTATTCCATCAAAGGCGGTGCTGTTGACGATAATATGCTCAGCCGTCTCCGGTACTCTGCAAGTGGGGCATAGGGGATCTATGTCTTTTCCAAAACTATGTAACTTAAAGCGGAAACCCCCATGCCCAGTAAGGAATTGAGAGACCCAGTAGTCCGGGAGAACCCACTTAGCTTTCAAGCGACTTCGGACGGTGGGGAAATATTTTCTTAAAGTTGCTCCTTTCAAGGTTGTTACCCACCGCCGATTCCACTCATCTATGGTGTCCTCCCGGATAATCCTCTTCCATTTTCTTGGGTTTTCTGCAATCCTTACCCGGATATTCTCCGGAAGACCTGCTGAGCCTTCTCTTTTTAACTTAAATATTAGCGAGTCTTCTCGCAGGAGAAGGTCGAGAGGTACCCCTCCTGTTAAGATCTGCACCGCCTCGTGAGACACACTTCGGTATGATTTTGTGACTCGCAACAGAGCCGTACGTTGAATTGTCGCCAATCTGCGTTTCTGACGGTGTGAGAGATTCTGAGACCACGCAGGAGAGGCATACCTCAGAATACCCTCTATCATTCCATCGTAAATGATCCTCGTAGCTGGGTATCTGAGGCCCCAAAATGCACCCCCTAGGCGACTAAGTCCATTCAAGGCTAGGGCCACCCTACTTCCTAAGTAGTCCAAATGAGGGGTCATATTAAATCCTCTTCCAAACCTTATGCCAAGGTAGGTGACCACCTCACTTGGACGTATTCTCGTTCCCTGTATACACAGATTGATAGGGTGTGCCCTATCCATCTTTTCCTTCAGCAGGATCGCCTGGGTCTTTGATGCGGCCATTCGTAACTTCATCTCCTCAC